GCCCTGATTTTTGATTCAGAAAATATGCCTACTCCTTGAATCTTTGCACCTAGCACAAAGATCTAGCAAATTGTTAAGGGCACTGAGTAGATTCTTGTTGATAATATTTTCTTCTTTGAAACTTTGCAAGACTATTCCTCTCCTGTAGAATGCATCTGTCTTCTATTATTTATAATTGCGTATTTGTCTTATTGCTACACAACACACACACACACACACACACACACACACACACACACACACACACACACACACACACCCCACCCCACCCCCCCACTACCACCACCACAAACAATAGCTTTCTGACTCCTGAGGGCAGGGACTGTTTTCTTTCTCATTCCCAGGGTTGAGAACCAATGAAAAGTGGATTTCAAATGGTCAGATTTTTGATGTCAACTCTTAAGTAGGAGTGGAAGGAAAGAAAGAAGGTAGTTTCGGTAATGGAGGCTCTCTATGATACCTTTTTTTTAAAAAAAAAAAAAAAAAAAGAAGGGTTGCTGACTTAAAGACTTAGATTTGAAGTGCTTCTTTACTATGAGGTTGATTGAAATCAAAACAGACTACCAAGAGAAATGATAGCTGTCTGTTACTTTAAAAGCAGGGTAGGTAGTCAGCCACCCATTTAGAATGGTTTGGGCATTTGGGCAATGGTTTGGGCTTTTCATTTGTACAAATGTGTTCAGTTTTTCTGATTCTAGGGTCATAGGAGAGAAACACTGGAGACATTATCACAGCAAAGTGTTAGATAAAGCATTTAAGACAACCACAAGTGTTTAGGATTGTTAGATTTAATTAATGTGGTTACAGGAGAAGATTTATTTTCTGATTAGTTCCCTACTTTGGAACTATTTATGTATTGTTTATATAAAATGAAATATGCCTTGGTTTTGTGTATTACTACGATAAATGTGGGAAAGTAGATATAGGTAAACTTGAAAATCCTAAATTATAGACTTTCAAAAGCTTAAAAATAAATGATAATTTTGTTTAATCATCTCACTTTATAGATTAAAAAAAAACTAGATCAAGGAGCACTTAATGACTTGTTAGAATGACAACTGCTTTGTCTGTAATTCTTGGCATCTTGTGTGTATCTCTATGAGAGCAGCTATTGCACAGCATGGTAGTCATTCATTTCTTTGCTCTTCCCTCCATCATTGCCTCCTTCTCTCTCTTTGAACAAGTACTGTACTTACTGAACATCTCTTATGTACCAGAAACTGTGAATATAAGGCGAAGGAGCCAACAGAGTCACTGCTCTCATGGAGCTCATTTTCACTTGGGGAATACAGACCAGAAACAAATAAATACAGGCGTTGAATTAAACAGGTGTTAGATGATAAGTGCTGTGAATAAAATTAAAGCAGGAATAGGAGATGGGGTGACATTTTAGATTGTTAGATTGGTCAGGGAAAGCCTCCCTGAAGAGATGAATTTTGAGAAGAAGCCTGAATGAAGTGAAGGAAACAAATCCTGAATATACAGGGAAAGAATGTTTCCGGCAAAAGGAACAGCAAGTGCAAGGCTTTGAGATGAGAATGTACTCGACCTGTTTCAGGAACAGCAAGGAGGCCAGGGTGGCTGGAAAGCAGTGAGGAAGAGACCGAAGTGAAATGAGCTAGGAGAGGCAGCCAGGGGCCACATCATACAGGGCTTTGTAGGACTTTGGATTTTATACTCAGGGGATGGGAAGCTCTTAGAGGCTTGAGAATAGAGAAGAAACATGAAGTAGATTTATGTTTTAAAAGGATCCTTTGGCTGATGTATGGAGAATAGACTGGAGGCAAGATCTGAAAAGAGACCAAGTAGGAGGCTATTGCCATAATCCAGGTGAGAGCTAGTGATGGCTCAGTACAGGGTGGTGGTGATGGGTAAAGAGAGAAACGATGGGGTCACAGTTGTGTAACTTCCTGCAAGCAGGGACTTCAGATTTTCACCTGTAACCCCAGGGCTTACCACAGGGCTCCATTCTTAGTAGGTTAATTTTGTTGAATGAATAAAACCAGAGAAATGCAAAATTCTTGTCCCTTTCCCATACACTATGCTGCCATTGGAAGGTTATACAAGAGGTCCTCTCTGTCATCTTAACATTGTTGGCTATGGATCACTTTGGTATTTCTTAATCTGGGCTAGCCTGGTTCAGCTCAAGCCAACTGATATTTAGCTGGAGAGGCTAAAATTATCCTTGAGAAGACAACGGCTTAGATAACTAAATAAGAAAGGACTCAAGATATTATATAGGTAAAGGTAAAAGTCGCAGTTCACAAACTCAAGTTATAAAGTGGTAAGGCCTTACATTTAAATGGCAATTGATATTTTACAGCATATGTTCATATATTTACAGCCGCTCTATGAAGTAGTTAGTAATGCTTTCTCCACTTTGTACACTGAGACTCAGAAAAGTTAAGTAATTTGTTTATAATAACAGCCAGCAAGTGACACATCCCCCAAACCAGATACTTCATCTCTGGATCCCTTACTCCTACCATGCTGATAAATTTACTTACTGAACAACCATCTGTTGGGTGTGTCATGTACCATGACAGCTAATGAGAATGCTGACATAAACAAGATCCCAATGCTGACCTTGTAAGAGCTTATCGTGTGAGGGAGGAATAAGGGAAGAAATCAAAGGTTTTAATAAGGTGCAGTAAATAGAGTAATAGAATTAAGCACTGGATATATTTTGGTTTTGTATATACAATTACTAAAATATAAGGAAAAAATACATCTCTCAATATTCTTGCAGCTGCCTGAGTGTATAGTTCGTGTTCTTCGATTTTGGGAAGTGGACTTGAATTAAAATGGCATGGCAGTGTAATAAATTTCTTTCTTTATTGTTTATTATTGACAGACATAAAAATGTATACAACATCAGAAATCCATAAGATGTCTACACAGCTTTAGAGTTTCAGTTTTCTGGATGTTATTTTCTAAGCTCAAATGGTTACATTTATTTTAGGATAATTTAGGTCTTGATTTTGCCTTTGCAGTGGGACTAGGCTTAATAATGTTATACGGTCAGAGGAATCTGTATAGAAACATGAACTAGGTTTGGTCTCAAGGAATACAGAACTCTAGAGTTACCCGGGTCAGTCAGGCCCTTACATTGGAATGTAGGTTATGATAAAGACAGAAATAATTAATACCACCACACTGAGAGCAACAAAGAGTGGAAATACCAGGAACCTCGGAATTAAAAGATAAATTATTTTTTCTTTTGTGGTCTTCTTTTGCTTAAGTAACTTATTTCTTCATTTTGAAATAGATGTTTGAACGAGTGAGAAAGTATACCTGAGACTAACCAGCTGAGAACCATTGTCAGCACTAATTTTTCCTTCCATAAATGACTATTTATTACAGACTGCTATTTAGCAGCAGTCTGTAATCTGGATACAAAGCTGTTGACCTGTGGTGGATAGTGCTGGAATTGTTTGTAAGCGTTGACTTAAATTGTCTACTTAATTTCTTTAAGTCAGATCAACAGGATTAGAAAAGTAAAGGTGCTTATGTGGTTTGAATGAAAGTGGCCATAGAAATTGAGAAAAATAATTGTAAAACGTTAATGATCTACCGCCTTGGTGAAGTAAATTGGAAACTAAGAAAATAACTGTCACTTACACTTCAACATTATCAGAATGTTCAAATGACACAGATTGGCTAATTAAAAGCATTTGTCATAATTGGCTTTTTGTACATAATCAATTCCAAAGTGTGTCTGATATTATGAGACAATGTAATTTAACCATACATGTGAACATCCCAGGCTTTCACAACATGTGGGCACTCCCTCTTCCAAAATTGTTTGGCTACCATAATGCTGACTTCTTTTGCTTTTAATAATTAGTTAAAAATAGCATGAACTGTGAAATAGAAAGGCTACTTGATTTGGCAATTGCACAATATTCACAATTTGAATGAAATAGGGCTCTCCTCGCTTGGGCTTTTTATGTATAAAAACTATATATTTTATTGAGTAAATTAAATTCAAAAGTAGGCCATTACTTGCAGCTTTCTATTCTAATGGCCAGATTTGATACATAGTACAGACAATTAGGGTTTCTTTATTCCTAGCTGTACTATAAAATAAGTTGTAAAAGCAAAAATTCTATTAATATAGCTCTTCCACATACTCTCCTGGTTTTGAATAACAAAACTTAACTTGAAAATTATGAATTAAGATTTCTCTAATACTAAAAACAATACTACTACTCTTGGTTTTGTTTTATAGTTAATAAAAATTCAGATGAATGAAGCTTCCCCCCTTTTTTAGGACAAGTCTAGGCCATATTTTCTGTGCTAAAATAGAAGTTTATTCAGTCATTTCAATTAATGAACATGCATCAAATCTTTGTTAAAGGATACTAAGGAGTGGCCAGAGCATTGTCAGAGCTTATTTCTTCTTCCTGCTCGTATCACTAAGAATGAATTGCCCAAAAGATAGGTAGCAGGAGGGAAAAGAGAAATCAGATAATACTGGAAAGTGTACATCAGAATAATCAGTCTAAATGAGCAACCATTTTCTTTACCTTAAAAAGACTCTTAGAGAAATGCCTACTTGTTTATCGGAGAAAGAGCCAGGTCTCTCTCTCCGTAGGTCTCATCTGTAGACAGCATGCAGAAAGCAAGCAGGTGAGCCAGAGACCCCAGGCAGTAGACCCCTCCGCTTGTCCCTGTGCTGGGCAGGACCTTTTTCATATACTTTCTATTATTGAATAGGTTCCTTAGGAGAGTAAGAGATGCATGGAAATAATAAAATTCACACTCCAAATTCCCGTATTTGTCATGCCATGATTGTGCTAAAATATTTTAAGGTGAATTGAGAGTTCAACAGCATCTGTATGTCTCTTTTAGTTTATGATTAACCTGCATGATACTTCCAGGAGATACTTAGAGTATCTTAAACATGCCTGACATAAATGTAATTTGGAAGCAAGATGTTTTCATTTGGTTTGGGGATTTTCTCTAATTTACTATCCCTTTACCCCCAAACCATTTAGGTGTGGGAGCTGCTCGGTCTGGGAACCTCACGTTTATGGTGGGAGGAGTCGAAGATGAATTTGCTGCTGCCCAACAGTTGCTGGGCTGCATGGGCTCCAACGTGGTGTATTGTGGAGCTGTTGGGACAGGGCAGGTAATAACTCCACACTAATGACCCTGACTTGATGATGGAAAGTCAGCTCATGTTCATTTCTCTTTCCTGACCATATTCTTATTTCTCCTTACTCTCTTCAATCAATGGATTCTTTGTTTGCTCAGATTCTCTTAAATTAATTTGGAATAAATTAATTTTCCTTCATTTCTGTTGGAATTAAGCAGACATCAACCAATTAACTTATTTTAAAAAGATATCAAATGCCATCATCCAGATTTTGACATCATCCCAGTGACCACTGAAATCATCCTTAATACTGCTATTTGTTCAGTGTTCTGTCTGTATTGTAGCCAACTCAGTGCTCATGACTGAGTTACTCTCATCAGCCTTTTAATTTTGTAATTACTTGCTACAGTTCTATCAGCAGTACCGTCAGGTAGAAGTAATCTATGTACTTTAATCTTTTTTCTTGAAAATGAAATAATCTTCATTTAGAAATATGTCAACTTTCTAGTCAGAGATAAATGACAGCTCAGAACTCTGAAATCAAACTAGTTGTCCTCTTTCCACCCAATACACACCCACTCACACTCACTCCACTTAATGCTTTGTCCTGGTCACTGGTACCCTCTTGATCTTATTTAAGACTTTGGTGTTATCTTAGCTGTGTCTGTTGTCTCCATTCCCGTGTCCAGTCAGTCTCCTACTCATTGGCTGCAACAACATGCTGTTAGCCATTAGTACGATCGGAACCGCTGAAGCTATGAATCTTGGAATCAGGTTTGTTGAATAGTACATTTTCACCTACTAACAATTTTTATGGGCTTTCCTATTTGATTTTCTAATGTTGAGAAAAATGTTCATGAGAGATAAATGAGTTGATCCAGGAACATTTTGAAAGTACTTCATTATTGGACTTTAATAGACTTTGCTTATTTTCTATCGATTTTGCTTCAGTGGCTCTCCTTGTTGACTGTCTTGTCCATTCCACACATTACCTGACCCAGTCTTTCCCTTATTATCTCACACCTTGTTTGCTGCTCAGAGGGCCTCATGGGTCTCTGGATGCCAGGTTCACCACTCTGCCCAACACTGTAACCAAGACCAGCTTCATCAAGATGCTCATATCATCCCCATTCTGAAACTTTGAATAGATCCTTATTTCCTATCATGTCACATTTTAACTCTCTACCCTCCTTACCTTTCATAGCTCTTGCCTCAGTCTTAACTATCAAATTTCTCACCATTTCTTAAAATACATGCCTGAGTCAGTTTTCTTACTGTTCTCAAGAACACGTCGTGCCCTTATGTATGTAATCCCTCTTATATATTTACTTATACCCCTGCTCTCCTCCTTTCTCTCTCTTGCCTATTTAAATCTGCCTGGCCTTTGAGAAATAGTCTCAGGTTCCAGTTCCTCTGGATCTTGTTTCTCTTAATTTACCACTTAATTGTTGTTTGTTTGCCGCCTCTTCATTCAGTGTTTTTCTTCACCCAATTAGAACGTGAACACCTTCCCTTAAAGAGCGGTCATGTCATGTAGATCAGGGGGACTTCTCTGTGGTGCAGAGCCCACAGGAGCCGGGCCACCACTGCGGGGTTCTTGCCTGATGGCAGAACCCTCCCACCAGCCCCAGCACCTGCCTGGGAGGGCACGGTCGGCTCAGGGAATCGTGCGGCACCATGTGCCTGTCCCCATTTGAGAGAATCACCTGTCGAATGCTCTTACTTTTAGAAAGAAGCATGTGGAATTGGGCGAAGAAAAATTTCCTATAAGTTATAACTTGAAAATAAAGATATTTAATATATACTCATTTTACTTTCAGGCTGCAAAGATCTGCAACAACATGCTGTTAGCTATTAGTATGATCGGAACCGCTGAAGCTATGAATCTTGGAATCAGGTTTGTTGAATAGTACATTTTCACCTACTAACAATTTTTATGGGCTTTCCTATTTGATTTTCTGATGTTGAGAAAAATGTTCATGAGAGATAAATGAGTTGATCCAGGAACATTTTGAAAGTACTTCATTATTGGACTTTAATAGACTTTGCTTATTTGACGACCAATAGGACCCTGGAGAGCACGAGCGTTCTCTGCCACGGCCATAAAGTGTGCTGCGCCGTGTGTTGGAAGTTACATTATCCTTTTTATGTGGGAGCTCCATTTGTTCTATTATGTCGAAATGCAAGGAAGGCTTTACTATAAAATTTAAACATACTTTGGTGGTGTAGGACAAATTTGTGTAAAACATGGTTTTAACATACAGAGAATTCAAGTGTTATGCTACCACGTGACTGGTTTTATGTATCTATTTAAAATATAGTCCCCAAAATCTACACTAAAAGGGCTCTTGGTTGCTTATTCCGTGGATAAGCTGGATGGCATTCATACAGCTGCAACTCATCTGCTTAACTTCATTTTAACTTGCCTGTGGTTGTGTCACTTTACATTAGGACAAATTTTTTCATTAAAATAAAATGACATTCATACTTTGCTTAAACTGTTTCAGGAGTTTTGTTTTTCCTATGATGATGATAATCCTTTAGAATGCTTAAGGTCAATGTCTTCATTTTAACCTTTAATTTTTGGTGTTAGGAATGCTAAATATGATTAATCACCTAATTATTTTTTAAATGTTTTTTAGTTCACGAATGTAATAAATATATAGTTCTTTCTTTAGAAAATGCTTAATGAGCAATATGTTTTATTCGGGGTTTTTTTGTTTGTTTTTTTTCACACTTTCCAAAACTCCTTAGCAAATATGTCACAAATAAAAGTAGTGTTTCATATCACAGCTTCTAATAAAAGCAATGAAAAGAGCCAAAGTACTTGGGATATTTTTTAAAACACAGTAATGGATTCACATTTCCTCTTAATTACCATATCAAGATGCTGTTGTTTTATTGAATTGCCCTTGTCTCAGATGTTAAACTATCTTGACCTATTAAGTTGTCATGTTGTAATTGAGATAAAAGAGGAATTTGCTTTGCATCAGTGCTAATTGGTTTATCAATATCCTGTACCATTTACATTTTAAAATTGAATGGCCGTACAATGGTAAGCTTAGCATATCTGTACAAAGCTTTAAAGAAAACTGTTGTATATATATGTAGGAAGCTGTTCAGTGTTCTGTCTGTATTGTAGCCAATTTTAGACTATGGGTCACTTATCATAATTGAAACACTGGTTACTAGTAACTTGTTTTCATGTCCATCCTCTAGACTAATTTCATAGAAGAAGAAAATGTAAATTTCTGGAACCAAAATTGCATAAAGAGTTAATTGGTGTTGACAGTAGGATTAGAGCATTAGTACACATGTGCATCTTTAGAATTTTATTTTCATTTTTCTGGATATAAAAGAATATATAGTAAAAAAGTGAAAGCCTAGATGAACCCAGTTCATGTTAAACTGAAATTTCCCTCATTATTTTTGCCAGTTTATTTTATATTCTGCTTCTTACCTTGAGCATCACTGGATCAGGATGCTCCTTAGGTATAGCGATGCATCCTCTGGCATTTCTCAAATAGTTTTTCTAGCAAAACTCTTATTGGATGAGCATTTGCCATTCTAAAATGAAGTTTTTTTGTATGGTAAATGCTTGTGAAAGTCCAACTTCAAATACCAGCTAATAAAGAATAGTATGAAAATCAGTTGAATCAAATGAATAAAATGTATACAATGAAGAGTATACATTGGTTGCTAGAGTAGGTTTATCAAAGAGAAAACGAAAAGTGATAAATTCTAAATAGATATGTTAAAAGCAGAAGCAATACATAGATGTTCTCTTATTGTTGGCCTTGAATCACTATGATAACAGTATTTAGAAATATGAAACTTTTAAATGTTTAATTTTTAAAAAATGTTTAATTTTTAAAACACTATATACATTACTGTTCCTTATATCCATATCTATGTCTATATATCTATATCTATCTATAATAAAATGTCTGAACACAAAGCAGGAACTCACTAGTTTTACTTAACTGTTACAATGATTTATACATTTCTTGTGCTTCAGATTGTTTTAGTGAATTGCTTATTTTCATAACATTAGGCTTTTATCAGTGTATCTGATAAAGATTCTCAGTGGTTTGAAAGTCCTAAAAATGATTGCTTCCGCTATTGTCTTTTCTTCATGGTTTACAGACATGGTTTAAAATGACAGGATTGTTCTCTAATAGAGTATAGAGAGCGGCCACAATTTATTGAGCTTTACAAGGTGAAAGAGAAAATTGGCATCAGCAAGCATAAATTCCCAAGTAGTAAATTCCCACAAAGTAGTACAGTATCAGAGTGGTTCAGCCACATTTATATTCTGTTCACTCGGAAGTGAAATTTTTTTAGAGCATTAATGTCAATGTTTACAAATTGAGTCACCTATTCCTATGAAGTGATCATTTCTGATTAATTTCATTCTCATAAGTCAGTGTTTTTTTCCCAGAACACTGATGTTTCTCTTTTGTAGAATAGAATAAAATCTTACAGTTTAGAAACTCTTATTTGGCCCTATGATCTTTTACAGTGAGTCTTTATGGATGTTCGTGAAATTTTAAAATGCTATAAAAAAGTAAACCATAAAAATATTGGTATACAATATATTTTTGGGTTCTTTTTTATTAGGCCTTCCTGCCTTCTAACTGGGTTCTGGTTAGGATTCAGAACGTAGCGTTAAGGCGCAGAAAGCGCCCTGTTTGCGTCAGAGCGTTTGTCCTGTGCGTTACATAGGAACAACGCTGACGACGTTGTTTTGTTGTTTTGTTTTTATTTTTGTTCCCCTGGGAGTCGTTTTGTTGTTGTTGTTGTTGTTTCAAATATTGGTATAAGGAGTTATTTGCATTACTAACAAGTCACAGGCCCCTCCAGCAACAACCATATTGTCTTCTTCCACCAAAAGCTTAACAGCTGAACTTCTGAAAGGCTGTTTAAGATAAAAACTTCCCCACAATAATAATTTTAGGTTCTTGGCTACTGCCCTTAGATGATGTTGCCTTTTTATTAGATGATGACTAAGGCCTCCGAGTGGCACACCCTAAAAGATAGAGAAATAGCAAAAGGTTTGTAATAAAAGTTTGACCAAATTTCTTAATAAACTGACAAAATGCCACCATGTTGGTTGAATGGCTATTAAGTTCATTACCCACATGACCCAGTGAGACTCAGGATGGTGAGAGTTTGGGTGTCTTGCTGATGCCTGCATTTCAGCTCTGCCATATACTTAAGCTTTTCTCATCTATAAAATCACAAAAATAATAGTATCTATCCGTAGAGTTGTTGTGAAGGTTAAATGAGTTAATCCATGTAAATCTTTTAAAAAACAGTTTCTGGCATTTAGTATGTGCTCAATACATGGTAGTTATTGGTTAGTATTCAAATTGAATTGTACTTTAATGTTTTTTCTTCATGCCACTTCTCACTAGATAGCACTGTATATTTATTTGTTTATTGCCTATCTTCCCAACTAGAATGCAAGCTTCATGAAGGGGGATGGCCTTGTCTGCTCATTGCCATATCTTAAGAACATACTTGACACACAGTAGGCACTAAATGAAGATTTGTCAGATGGATGAGGAGAGGAGAGAGGGAGGGAGGAAGCACTTCTGCCTCAGGTCAAAGGTATCTGGGTGTGTGTCTTAACCGGCTCACTCGCTCCTGGAGGGCAGGCACAGCCTCAGCCTCTTAGCTTGTGGTCTCCCTGGCTCTAAGCACAGCACCTGCACATGGCAGATCCGTGTGAGCATTGGGGAATAACCGAGTGAGTGGCTGAAATTGACAAGTCTCAGATGTTTCATCTCCAGAGCAGTTCCTGCGATATAGTCATCTCAAGTTTAGTGACATCATTTTCTTACGTAAAATTAAATAGTATAGATAATTATAGAGAATATAAAGTGAACAAACTTTTTTGGCCCTTAAAAGCCTCAGTTATAGCAAAGGCAAACGTTTGGATTCTCTTTAATTTTTTACAGTTAATGCATCATTTTTACTTCTCTCAATAATTCATTTAAAATTCTTATGTATTAAAAGGTGAGTAGATTTGACACAGTGACGTTTATTTGAGTTGCATTATGTATGCGGTCAGAGCAATGAATTCATTGTTTATATCAGAGAACATTCCAGCAATTGTAAAGCCACATGCATGCACGCGTGCACCCTCGAACCACATCCAGTGGCAAGTTATTATGGGGACTGACAGACTGTCATCCTTTTGATGGCTTGAGCTGTATATCTCCTGAACAGCAATGGGGCTCTTATGCAGAAAGTATCATATGTTCCCAGCCAATTTACAGGGAAACAGCAATAACATTTTATCATGGTTGAGAGCCCAGTAGCTGCTTCCTATTAAACTTGCCCTTTCAGATACCTGTCTTGGATTAATTTGTTGATTTCAGATGGAAACTCAGTCTTCTCCAGTGAAGCATGACGTTCTAGGATAGACTCTCTGAATGACAATTACTGTGTATTCTAGCTGGTTTCAGACCATTACAAGCCTTGGGCACAGTGGAAGACAGAGGACTTCAGTAACTGATTTTAATATCATGTCTAATTTTAACTGTCAGTTATGTATGTGCCAATGAGAGAATCCTCAGAAAGATGAAATGTAAAACACTCCTAACTTGCTCTTTTTAATGATACACTTTGCTGCAGGGTGGGAGCAGGGAGGAAAGTGGAGAGGGAGTAGCCATCCCCTAAAGGGACTCGGCACAGTGGGGAGGCATCAGATTGAAAGTGAGCACGTACAACTGCCACCTTGTTTCCCCGTGTGCCCCTCAGGATTCTTCTAAATAGTAATATGTTCACCAAAAAGGGTTCCATAAATCAGTGCCAGTATTTTTCCTCAAACATTCAAGAAAAAATGAAATTTAGAGTTTTACAAAGGATGATAAGCTTTGCTCACCATTTTGGTATTATATTCAGAGTATGAATTTCTTTAGCAATAAAGACTGTTGTGAGGTACTATTGAGTATAATCTGGTAGATTATGAAGAGGGGACGAACTGTCACTTTAAATATGATAAACCATCTTAAAAGAAAATCTAAATTAAGAAGCTCTTAAATTATATTTCAAATGGAAGGGAAAAGCAATGTTTTGGGGTCTTTAAAAATATTCCCTGCCCATGGAATACATTAGACACACACAGTCTTGAACATTTAGGCTTAGCATATTTGCAGTTACAGCAGATTGATTAATTGTGAATTTGTGATTTCACTTTTCACAATTATTCCCTAAACACATTGGCTTTTTCTTTTCCTAAGTCATCTACTACAATAGCATACTGATTGCCTAATTTTATTTAAAGGGGAAAGAAGGTATCAGTAGCAACTGCGTATGTAATAAACAAATCTGATTGAATGAATGAAACTGTTGGATTTCTTTCTAGCAATCTACAATTGAATGATAGCCAGTTTAGAGTGGGTCGTCTATATGTTATAATCCTTAGTAAAAACCACTTGTTATAACATGGCTCACCATATGAATTTATATGGTGAATTCAGTTCAACATGACATGTCATACAGTGTTCCTTGCACTGTAGCTACTCCTTAGAAAGCCTGGTTACGTCACAGTTGTGTTACATGATAAATCCAGACATATCCTGGCTGTTAGTCCTAGCCCTCTGTCCTAGCATTGGAAAAATGTTTGCTGGTCATGATATTCAAATTTGGAAATAAATAGACATATTTTGAATACACAAAATAAGAACTTAAGCATGACAAAATGCATAATTTGTTTAACAGATATATGTGTCTCTTTTCAATCTTTTTTTTTTAAATTCTGGAAGAGATTGGTTTTAAGAAAAAGCAAGTTTTATTTGAAACTTGATTCAGTGATACTTGGCAAAACTGTGCTTTTCCAACTGCATTAAGATACTTAGAATCAAAGTAATATCAAAAATTTTGATTCTATTTTTTTTTTTCTGGGTCCACATTGAACAGCCGTTTATGCCATCAGCCCAGTGATAGAACAAATGATGTTTCCGCTTGGGCAAGCTTTGTTTTATCAGGATCAGTAACCTTATCAGCAGTTGACCCAGAACTATAATGCATGTCTCCGAATAGATAGCATATGTCACAACTCTGTGCAGACTTGCTTCATAAGCGAGATTGTCTAATGAAGATTTAATAAATAAGGAAAAGTTTGCAGCAAGGAATGTCTTCTAATGATTACTTCTCTTAAGCTCGTTGTACTGCTCATGGCTCATCTCTTGCATTATTCTCATAAAAGCTAAACGAATAGACGTATAAATGCGTCCACACGAACTCACATGATGCATAGTGGATCTGTCCATATTTCTTTCTGAAATACATTGCTTGTGAGTTAAGAATGTAGCATTTAGATGATCATATTGCCTTAAGGTTCTTATGTGACACATAATGTCCAAAAGACTAGAAAACTCACGTGTGTGATAAACCAACAACACTTTTACGCAATTATGTATTGTTTCTTAAAAGTAAAATACTGCAGAAGGTTTTTTTCTCAGTACAGAATGTCCTGGCTCAGAATGGTTTAATCACTGGCGTTTCCACCTTATAATTTAAGATTGGATTCTTCATTCTCATCTATCTGCTTTGATTTTTGAAGACATATAATAAATGGAGAGAGGAAATGGAGCATCCTCATACATAAATAAGCCACACATTTTGACATTTAACATTGTACATTTTGACACTTAACATTTCTTTTCTTTGACCTTTGACAGGTTAGGGCTTGACCCAAAACTGTTGACTAAAATCCTAAATATGAGCTCAGGACGGTGCTGGTCAAGCGACACTTACAATCCTGTACCTGGGGTGATGGATGGAGTTCCCTCAGCGAATAACTATCAGGGTGGATTCGGAACCACGCTCATGGCCAAGGTATGGTAATGCAGAGACTACCCAAGAGAAGTGGGGGAAATGTTTAATGGTCTACTTCCCTCCCCCTCCCCTCCCCCTCTCCCCCACTCACTCCCTCCCCTTTTAACAAAACATACTCTATCCTAGAAGGCAAGATTGCTAAAATAATGATTCGTTTACTCACTGGAAAGGAGCTAATTAAAACTTAGCTTAGATAAAAATACTTATCTGTTCGTTTTTCTTCCTGGCCTTTTCAGATGGGAAGAATGGGCTGGGGTTTTTCTTTTGTGTTTGGGTTTGTTTATAACATGAGCTGCTGAAATTTTGTTCTTCGTCATAAATTTACGTTAATTTACCAAGTCCTTAGAATGAAAGCAGTAAGATTTTTCTGATGGTTGATAATACGTTGACTTTGGCTGTACACACCACAAAAGCAGCGAGGCTCCTTTCTCATGATACTGAATTTTGAAATATGTCTTTCTGCTTTAAGAATATATATGTGTTTATGTATAAAGACATTTGAAAAGCAAATTGTCGGCCTCCTCTCATTTGCAATCACAACTTTAGGAAATATTTTATAGATGGACAGACTTTCAGATTTCTGCACAGAGCTTATTTCCTTCCTGCCCCGCCCCCCCAGTTGACTTTTCTCCCCCGATTACAGAAGTAATAATGCGTACAACTGGATGCCATCCTCGGCTCGCTTTCCTTCGTTCCCCGTGGTGTTCTATTCATTCTCCTTCTCCTGCGGCCTCCCGCTCTGCAGTGCTGGCTTTGTTTGGGGACTCTCCACCGTACTGTCCCCTCCTCCGCCACTACCAGTATGTCGGCTGAGCCCCATTTAGATTATACTACGTCAGCCCTAACTGATCTTCCCTTTCATCTAATCTTTTCTAGTTCATTTTCCACACCATGGAAAAGAGTTGGCTTCCTAAAACGTGAAAACTCGATTGTGTCTTTTCCTAGTTAGTCTCTCTCATGGTTTCCAGTTACTTGTAGCTTAAAGTCCATCTCTACAAGTTGCCTTACAAGGCCCTCTGACCCGGCCTCTGCTCGCCTCACCAGCTCAGTCTTGCCTTCCCACTCCCCTCTCTGCTTCAGCCACGCTGAGCCATTTCTGCCTCTTGTTCTCTGTCACTTGCAAACTTCCATGCTTGCTGTTCCCTCTGCCTGGATCATTCTTCCTTGCCCCCTCTACTCCAGCTTCTGGCACAATACCTGGCACATCGTCAGCATACTTTAAATATTTATTGGATGAAGCAATGTTTAATGTTTCTTGTTTTGTAGTTTTGTCTCTCCTCATGTTTCATTTAAGAAGCTATTTATTTTTATACCAGTCTCTAGACCTTGTATTCAGGTTTGTGTGTCCTCCACACAGGCTTTTATGGTTGTGCCGTGTGGCTCTTGTTGGAAACAGAAGGTAGCTCCTTGAGTGCATTGTTTTCGTCAGCGCTACAGGGTGATTTATCAGAGCACGTGGAGGAGTGAAGGAGTCGCATGCGCGGTTTCCTTTGTGTGTCCATATGAAGTGGGTTGTGACCTGTTAGCTTATTCGGTCCCTAACATACTGGTAAGGGCTCAGAGGAAACAGCTAACAAGTAAAGTGTAATACGAAGCAGTAGTAGGTTTCTAATCAAAGCGAATGGATCCGTGTGACCTCCCGTTCCTCTGCAGTGCTGGCTTTGTTTGGGGACTCTCCCCCGTACTGTCCTCTACTCTGCTGGACACTTTTATTTTAGTCATTTTCTCCAGTGTCCCTGCCCAGGAAGACTCTGCCACTTTAATTTTATTTATTTATTTATTCATTCATTCATTCATTCATATATTTTTAAGTGAGGCAACCCTTGGTTGACCTCACAGATTGCAAGGACCTTGTCAGCTTACGACCCCTTATTTATTTTTATTTTTTACGCCTATGATACCTGGTCTTCCTAGGTGGTCTCCCATCTAAGTACTAACCAGGCCCAACTCTGCTTAGCTTCCAAGATCAAATGGGATCGGGCTTGTTCAGGGTGGCATGGCCATAGACTCTGCCACTTTAATTTTAAAGGTCCTTCCTTTAAAATTATTTTCTTGGTAATTTTTTTAAAAGATAGCTTTTTCAACAAATAGCATAAGACAGCACAGTACTAAAGCACGGATCCTACTGTTCTCTTTTATTCTTGTTTCCCTTGTGAAATGCAATTGTCATTTCCCTTATAAAGAGGAACACTGCTTAATTTTGCTCGGAACAAAAGTACCTAGAAATGAACTTTTGAAAATCTTTCATTGCTTCAGATAGCTATTAACAAAAAGGCCACAGCCAATTAGATTTGTATAGAGAAATTGATGGAGCTTAAATAAATCTCCATCAATGCAGTAATGATTAAGACAATTGCACCTGCTTGGGCAGATCAAGGCTTTACTTACTTACTTAGAGGTGTTTTGCTCAACTGCCTTTAAATTTCATTGTGCCAGGGGATATGATGCTAGCAAGTCATTGAAGTAGAGGCTTGTCCATTTATTTCTAGGTCTTAACATCATCACATTCTAACATTTTGTAATCAATACAAAAACTAGATCATCCTTCTGAACTCTCCAAGTTAGAAGTCTGCTTCCCGATGGGCACTAAGGAACAGTTTATGGGCAACCATGGCGGCCGTTGGTACTCGCCCCACAGGCCAGTTTCCTCGTAAAACAGAACAGCTTGCTCCTCCATTGATTTGTTGAAATCCTTTTGCAGTTGTCTTGCATTTTTTTCCTGAACTACCCACTGAGCTCATGAATTTGTAAGTATTTTATTTGGTTAGTGAAGTGAGATATTTAAATTGTATATTGTAAGCTTCAGAGGATGCCTCCTTTTCCTAACATTTGAGGATTGACAGGCTACTCAGACTTTATGGACTAATCACCTTTTCCTTTTTAGAATGTCCGTCCTTTAAGGGAACAGCCACTAAAGTATGTTAGTTTCCCTTTTTTGATTTTATTAGCTCTTATTCGAGATCATATTTACTTGCCCTAATGAAAAACTCTTAAGACTTTTTTTCTTGATAGCGTTGTCTTCTCTTCAGTATGTTATGTTCACTCTGAATTCTTATATTCTAGTTTTATTACTAGGTTAAATATTAAATGTAGTCTATCTATGTAGATTTTCTCTGTCATTTTAAAATAAAAGCATCTTACAGATGTGCTGCAAAAGGACGTTGACAAAAGAGCCCTGTCTGCGTGTCGGGCATGAGCAGTAACTGAGCCAACCATGTTTGTTAAGTGTGTGGGTAATGATGAAACTTGCTTTTTAGTGGAAGCTATAGAAGAATTTAACGTTAAGTAGATTTTCCAAATCTGTGTGTTTACATGTGAAAATTATACAAACACAAAATAACGTTTGCTCTTGTGGCATACATATTCAAGATGCTAGATATTTAATATATTCTTTAATGTATGCTTGTTTTTTTTTGAATCATTTTCTCCTTTGAGTGGGTGCTGTCAATAACTGCTCCTTTGTCAAGGATGTGCTTCAAGAGTAGAAGTATTTCTCATCTTGCTTCTCATCTTCCCCTTTCATTGCTTGTTGACTTCCGTTGGTGGGGGCAATGGGAATGATAACGGTAACAAGAAAATCCAGTTGATTTTGCCATTTGTTTGCAGCTCTTATAAAACCACAAATAAAATGAAACGTGGGGAATAATGTTTCAGTTATTCATACTTTCATTCTCCTTCCATCTACTCCAGATATTTTAAGTTTAAACAAAATTCCGTTTTTATGGTAGTGAATAGCCATTAGCTACAGTCTAACTCTATAAGAGATTTATAATGTTAACTTTGTATATTTTACAACAGCCATAAGTTTTCTGACACTTTCAGAATAAAGCATTAGATCTATGAGGTGTCGAAGGGTTGTTGTGAAGATGATCGTCCCATTGCACTTAAAATAAAATGAAAACATATTAAGGCTTCTGTGTCCACTTGGTCCCATCCCCCAGCGCATTTCCCTCCCCAGCCCCTTTGCTCGCTCTAGTTCACCCTCACTGGCCTTCTTACCATTTTTTGAGGATCCAAGCCAGGTCCCACCACAGGGCCTTTACCTTCCCATTTCAAGTGCCCGAAACTCTCATGCCCCAGCTCTCCAGAGACCTCGCTACCTCCCTGACATCATCTGTCAGAGTTCTCTTCCTTCCACCCCACCCCGTGCTGTCCATCACTTTCTAACCCCTCACCCTGCTTTATTTTTCTTCACAGCACTTGTTGTCGTCTGGAATTTTAGTATTTGTTTTGTTGTCTGTCTTCCCCACTGGACAGCTTCATGAGAACACTGACTTGATTTTTCATAATGTTATCACCAGCACTTAGAACAGTGCCCAGCACACAGCAGTTTTGAATAAGATATCAAATGGGTATGCCACAGTTCCATAACGGGGTTTGGTATAGGCTTACAGCCTTCTGCAGATTTGAAAAAGCATTTGCTTGTGTGATCTCACCTGTGTAGTAACCCCTGGGCAAAGTCAGAACAAAACGGGTCTGGCGGAGGGTGGAGGAGTGGAGAGGACACTCAGAAATCCAGCTTTCTGTCTGGAGCAGTTTTGCAGCTACATGAAAGCACTAAAAATTATACATAATTTACCATAGTGCTTGTAAGTATCTTATTTTTTTCAGACTTCGTTTTTTTTTTTTCTTCTTTGAAACAAAAGCATTAGGAGCCACAGTTCCAAAGTGGAGCTTTACCTGCCAGTCTCAATGTGTTCCCTCCTGCCCTTGTTTGATTTAGGATCTGGGATTAGCACAAGACTCTGCCACCAGCACAAAGAGCCCCATCCTCCTGGGCAGTCAGGCCCATCAGATCTACAGGATGATGTGCGCGAAGGGCTACTCACAGAAAGACTTCTCGTCTGTGTTCCAGTTTCTACGAGAGGAGGAGACCTTCTGAGTCAGCACTTTGGTCGTGGACACTGTTGGAAACCAAACTATCTTGAGCCTCCTTACAGCTCACACCACCAGTCATTGAGTTTAGTCAAAAGTCACCTGTCTGTTTTTGGTTGCCTAGGTCACCGTAAACCCTAGGATCTTTCATCCATTTTTAACTGCTTGTTCTTTTTATCTTTTTAGCAAACGTACATTATCTGAATTTTTTTTTTTTCTGTAAGCCACCGATGGTCTCTGCTAACTAGCTGATTGACCTTTTTCAAAAATTTGATCCGTAATCATCTTCAGCTAAATCATTGCGTACTTCAATCAGGATGTTATTTACTTCACTTTAAAAATAAAACCAAATATTTTTCAGTAGGACGAAACTGATCTTAAAGGGGAAAAAGAAAAATCCGCGTGAGGAAGGAGGGAAGGACGGTGAATTGCCGCCTGTGTTTCTCAGGTGGTAGTATTTTTGCATTTCTGAGGTTACTGATTTGTTTTCCAGGGAATTGATAAAGCAGGAGAACGCCTTGCTGCATGTTTTATACTTGGGACTCTGTTACATCCTAGCTTGTCCATCTCATATCAGTTCTCAGTGTTCAGCAGAGTTGTTTTTTATATTTTTGCTTCCTTGTACATTCTGAGTACATATTTTTTGACTTCAGAAGAATGACATCTTTAGACCTGTTTCAGAGGCAATGATGATATTTGCTTTAGGTAATTCTTACAGTATTCTAAATAGAGCCATATTATTTTGAATTCAAATAAATTTCTATGCTGATAATACTTCCTTGGAGTTTTTGCGTCTTCTCAGCTGTTCTATGAACAGTCAAGTGATCTGACAAACTGGTGTGACAGCCTAATGGGGAGAGGATGGGAAGAAGAGGAGGGGGCGGTCAAAGGAGCCAGGCTCTGCACAGGCCGGTGGCAAGCCAGCCGCGGGGCTGCTCCACCTGAATCCTTAATGTATTCGTCTGAGTGTTTTCCAGGTTGTAGACACTATGGGAAGTCAGCCTGCGTGAAATATGGCCCCATATGGGGCATAGTTGCCGTTTTCCTCACCTCAGCCCCTAGAAATAGTCCAGGTGATAGACCTAGACACCAAATTTGGCAGAAGTACAACTACTTTCATCATTTTCCTGGTGATAAAAAATTCCAGGCACTATTATAAGTGATGGGGCTACGATGGTGAATAAGGAGACAAAATCGTGCCCTCGTAGACCATAAATTCTGGTGTTGCATATGTGTGTGTGTGTGAGGGGAAGTGACAGACAAGAAATACATGTTCAGTGCGCATGGCAGGTGGTGATAAGGGCTAACAGGAACACTGAAGCGGGGTGGAGGGGGGCCGCCAGGGGTGTTATATTAGAGTGGTAAGGGACACTCTCTTTGATAAGGTGGCATTTGAGCAGAGATGAGAAGGAAGTGAGGGAACAAGCCATGCAGTTATGCAAGGACAGAACGTTACAGGCGCAAGGACAGAAATTGCAGAGACCCTCAGTCAAGATGACGTAGATGTGAGGAATAGCAAAGAGGCCGTCAGCGAGGTGTCATGAGATGGGGCAGGGGTAGATCTTGTAGGGTCTTCAGGGCTATGTTAGGACATTGATTTTTATTCTGAGTGGAAGAGGCATGTGGTCAGCAAACGCACAAGCTAACCAAGAGACTGCCACCACCAAATTCAGTGGCTTAAAGTAACCAATGTTCATTGTTTTTCGAGATTGCCCAGGTCGGCTATATTTCTCTTCTGGGTTGGGCCAACTCATCTGGAGCTGGAGGGTCTAGTTTGGACTCAGTCAGCTGGGACAGCTGGAATGGTTAGGACTTCTCTCCACATGGTCACTCATCCGCCAGGAGGCTAACCTGAGTTAGTTCACACGGTGATGCTCTCTCAGCAGCAACATCGGACAAGTCCCAATGGACAAGCACTTTTCAAGCATGTGCTTGCCTCATGGCTGCACTATCCCACTGGCCAAAGGAAGTCACCTGGCCAAGCCCAGAGTTAGCATAGGAGGGGACTGTGTAAGAGTGTGTGGACACAGAGAGGGGCATCAGGGTGGCCATTTGCAAATACCCGATCACAGCCAGCCTAGAGCGGATTCTGTGCAGAGGGTTAATGTTCTCTGCCCTACTTTTTGAAGGGATCCCTCTGGTTGCTGTGTGGAGAAGAGACTGTAGGGGCGAGGGTGGGAGTGAGGAGACCAGTTAGGAGGCGACTGTAATAACGCAGTTAAGAAATGGTGGTTAGTGGGCGAAGAAACGGTGGCGGCTGGGACCAGAATGTTAACAATGGAAGAGGCAGGAAGTCGTCATAACAGAGCCACTAACCGATGGAAGGTGTGAGAAAGCGGGGAACCAAGGGGTGACTTCAAGGTTGGTGGGGAATGCGGAAGGGCGAGGCTGCCATTTACTCTGGAGAAGATCGTGAGAGGCCTAATAATCACCTAAGGAGAAAAACAAAGGTCCAGGCCCAAGCCCTGGGTGCTCTACCTTTCCATGGTTGAGAAGAGGAGGCAGAACCAGCAAATGGGACTGAGGAGTGACCAGAAGCCAAAAAGAGTGTTTTAAGGAGGATTCGAATCAATATTTGCATCAAAAACTACTGACAAGTTAATTGATATAAGGGCTGAGAGTTAATCGTTTGGATTTGGCAAAATAGAAGTCATTGGTGACTCTGACACGTGTTTAGATGGTGCTGGAAATGAGACAGAGGAAGAATGGGAGGAGAGGAATTGGAAGTCATAAGTAGAGACAGCTCTCAAAAAATTTTGCTGCGGAGGAAAGTAGACAAATGGGATAGATACTGGCAGGGAATACGGGGTCAAGGGAAGTCTTATTTACATTTTTAAGACGGCAGATATTATGGGGCTATCCAGTTGGAGGTGGAATGATCAAATAAAGAGGTAAAAATAATGATGCACAAAAGAGAGAGGACACTTGCTAAATGATATCCTTGAAGGGGAAGGTACAGGTGTGGACGGATCTCCAAAAACTTAAAAACCAGCACAAACAGGTAAAGTGTCAGATTGCCAGCATCTTGTATGAAGGACAGTAGCGTTGAAATTATTCAGTTTTTCAACACAGAATAATAAATATTCATGCTGGAAAGGACTTTACTAACCTCTAAGTGTGACTCGTTTAAGTCACACTCCTCATTAGTTTCTCATCTATAAAGTTGTCATAAACAATGTAGCCTAATATTAAATACATGCTTGGAAACTCAAAACCAAAAATATGAGTTAAGGACAATCACAAGTGTTATTGAGCATGTGAAGAAGTTAATACCCTCTTATATTTGCTGCTGGGAATATAAAGCAGTGCAGCCGCTCTGGAAAATAGTTCAGCAGTTCCTCGAAAGGGTAAACAGGGTTACCCCACAACCCGGCAGTTCCACTCCTAGCTGTGCACTCAAGAAAAATGAAAATGTGTCTGCAGAAACCTGTACACGAGTGTTGATAGCAACCTTATTCATGATAGCCAAAAAGTAGAAACTATTAAAAAATCCTTCACCCGATGATGGCATAGACAAACTATGCTATGTCCATACAGTGGAAGACTGGCCATAGAAGGAATGAAGTACAGGTAGGTTCGTGCTATAATGTATATGAACCTTGAAAACATTGTGTCAAGTGAAAGGCCAGACACCAAAAGCCACACACTGTATGAACCTGGATGAAATGTCAGGAGTAGGCAAATCCATAGAGACAGAGTAGATTAATGGTTTCCAGGGACCAGGGTGTAGGGCGAGCGAGGAGCGACTGCTGCTAGGTATGGAGTTGCTTTTGGGCTGAGGAAAATGTTCCGCAATTAAGTCATTACAGTGGTTGCACAGCTTTGTGAATGTATGAAAACCCACTAAGTGCTCGCTTCGGCTGCACTTATACTAAAACCCACTGAATTGGATACTTTTAAATGGTGAATTTTATGGTGTGTGAATTATATTTTGAAAAAAAAACTAAGGAAGGAAAAAAAATCACGTGTTAAGATCTTTCTCCATGGATATGTGGCTCTTACTGGGGAAGTTTTGCCCCCAGGGGACATTTAGCAGTGTCTAGAGACACTTTTGGTGGTTATACTGGGGGTGCGGGATGCTGCTAGCATCTAGTGGGTAGAGTCCAAGGATGCTGCTGAACAGCCTGTAATGCACAGGACAGCTCCCCCAAGAATTACCTGCTCAAATGTCCATAATGCGGAGTTTGAGAAACACTACTCAGGTGTGTGTTCCACAGGGCATATCATGACCTGAGCTTCCCATTCTCCCCAGCAGACCTGCTTCTCCTGGTCCCTGTCCCGTCCAGGTTCCCAGGGACCATCCCTGGCTCCTTCCTCCGTACACATTCTCCATAGTGAATTCTAAATCTTTGGGGCCAACTTGAGGCCCTCATCAATTCTTGTCCAGGACACTTCAGTATCTGCATCGCTTCCAATTTTTTTCCAAGAGTTTTACTGAGGTATAATTTACATATGATAAAATTTGCTGGTGTTAAATGTACGATTCATGGACTTTTTGTAAATTTACGAAGTTGTATAATCACCACATTCCAATTTTAGAACATTTTCATCGCTTGCCCTTACCTTGAAAAAATCTCCAATGCCCATTTACGGTCACTCCCTTTCTGCCCCTCCCCCAAACCCACAGCTGTGGGCACCCGTTAATTTTGGTGTCTATAGATTTGTAGCTGCTTTTCAGCCACCAGTTTGGTTCTTCCCTAATTCATCCTTCGCCATGCTGTGAGAGAGGTCTTTCTAAGACAAATCCCATCCAGTCATTCCCCTCATAAAATCTCTCAGCCTCTCACACCTCAGTGCCTTTGCACACGCCAATGTCTTCTCCTGAAATGCCCTCTGCACTCCTCCTGGCTGAGCAGCTCAGGCACCATGCAGGGCCTGCCTTCCCCAGCTACCTCACGCTGTCATTGCCCCAGCTGCCATAGCTCTTTGTTGCTATCTTTTGTATCATAGAACTTATGCTATTACATTATATATTTGCTGGTTTGCCCATTTTTTCTTCCACACCAGACTGTGAGCTCTTTGAGGGCGCAAAATGTGTCATATTCAGCTTCGAGTGTCTGTTTTGAGTTCAGCACCTGGCATTGAGTAAGAGCTCAATAAAGGTGTGAATAACAGTGATTGGAAGCTGGGACATTGTTTTTGTGTTAGGTGAACTACTGACAGCAAAAACTTTGTTCCTAAACATTCTTCCTTGGCAGATCAAGTGTATTTTACTCTGAGTTATAAGTTATGCTGTGTGTTATACACAGCTGCCCAAGAAGTCTTATAGAATGTGGATCTTTTACAAAGTCTTCTAAGTCAAAAGATTAGCCTATGCTGCTTGGTATAGAAGAAGCTTATGGGGAAGAATAGGTAGCCAGCTTTCTGGTAGCAAGCTTTGGTCTCTTTATGTACTTTACACATCAACTTACATGCAGAGAAGCATGTACATTTTTCTCTTTACAGCAGTTTCAAATGCAGTCTTTTATAACATGCTACACAGACCTCGAGGCATAAGGCGAATCTCATAATAACACAGGTTTGATTTATTCAAGGGATTCTGTGAAGAGGTAGGTGTTTGAGAGATTCTGTTGCTATCCTATTGATCTGACATCATGATAATAGAGCATATACTCGGCCACAGCTGAGTCCAAATTTAAGCAAACCCCAAATGGAGCAGGCCTACTCCTTGGCCATTTTTCTCATTGCATGGATTTTGATCTTGACTTTTATTCTAAGCGATCAGAAATTGTGATTGTGTGATCCGTGTAATCCGTCCGCTTCCAATGGGGGAG